CACCCTAGTCAAACACCTTGTTTGCCTCACGGTAAATACGCCCCTGGCTGAGAGCTGGTAAAATCGGCAGTCAGAGGATCCTTTTGGATAGTACAAAAAAAAATTGGCAACCATGCCAACCTATAGCCAGCCTTAGCAGCATGGTGCACATGCAAGGGCAATGCACATCACAAACATACAAAGGATTTCCCAGCAACACTTACCAGCCAGCTTGCAAAACAACCAATTTGGCCCTGTATAGCAGCTTGTGTTAAAAAGAGTGGGTTTTGTTTGTACACATTTTAAAATACATGTGTCAGCTGCAGTCGCATGTCAAGGGTCCTCTGTATACTGTGGACCTAACTCTAAAATTCCTAGAGCCCCCACAGTGGAAGCACATATATCAATGGATAGGTTATGGGTACTGGATGCCTTTGCTGTCATTTTGCTATAGCTGGGCATCACATGCGCCCTGTACCTTTTAAGGAGGGATTACCTCCTCCAGGCACGCCTGCCCTTAACCTATCCATTGATATACTGTATGTGCTCTCACTGTGGAGGCTCTGGAAATTTTAGAGTTAGGTCTGCAGTATACAGAGGACCCTTGACACGGGACTGTGACTTACACATGTATTTCCAAATGTGTGCAAACAAAACCTTTGGATAGCGATCTCCCAACAGGAAATCATATAAAGACTTCAGACACTCTTGCTGGTTGTTGAACTTATTTACTTAAATTTATTCCAAAGGCATTTTTCAATGTATAAATGTTGTATCTAATATTTACCTGCCTTTTGCAATAGTTTTTCATAGAGCAGCCCTAATCCTCTTCTTCTGAAAGCTGCTTGCTATGGGGGCACTCGTGCCTGCTTGCTCCCAAGCCAACTTGACACACAGATCACGGCTCAACCGCACATAGAATGCATTAAGGTAAAAAAAAAGTACCTTTAGAACCACTTTAACATATTTACAGTAGAAATTGTGAGTGAATTTGGTGGAAGCCTGAGAGATATTATATATTATAATGAAGTAAGCTGAATACCAGGAGGCAAATATTGGTACAGTTTTTTACTACTGTGGCCTATATATTTGCACACAAAAGGAAATTCAGGTTGCTAGATAGGTGGTTTCAACTATGCCTTTAATATGCGTTTCATGTTTCATGTGTTTTCATGTTATTTTAACATTTACTCCTAAGAATGTGACTGGTGATACGTTGTAGAACAAAATATATTCATAAACTTCCTGTAATGTTGCGATCTCCTCTAAGTAGCTATAGCAGATTGAGGTGTGATAGAATTTTTATAGCATATCGGCATTCACACTTAAGATTACTACGGTTAATGAATTTTTGTTTCCTGTTGAGCAAAGAAGTTTTAGCACAGCTTTTTTCACCTGACATACACTTTAAGGAAGCAACAAACTGAAGACCTAGAAGAAATGACATATTTTCAACAGCAAGTTCTAATGTAGTTATCGTTCTAGGCAGTTACAGTATATGCCTATTCCTCCTGATTCTTCTAGTTGCATTCAATTTTCCCTCTTCTCAGTTGTGGACAGTTTTGTATGAAATGTTCAGTTTCTTGGCAATCTAGTGCGTAGAATAATCATCATTATGTAAAAAAAAAAAGGGTTTCTGGAGAGAATGGTTTTATTGTGGCTATTTTTTTAGCCTGAAAAGGAAGCCCATGGAAATTTAATTTACAGTTCTAATACAATCACAAAGGTTTTGTTACAATCAATTATAATTTAAATTAGTCATTAATAGAAACATAAAATTGTTCAAGTTGAGTCGCAGCACTCTGCCCTCTTCCCTCCTCCAGTGCATTTGCACTGTTGTTTTAATTTATAGATAATATGACTGGCAAGCTGTCAAACACCCTAATGGTGGTGGGAGCTGAGGCACTGACATAATGTGAAAGTGAGAAGCTTTGGTTGGAAAATTTGAAGATAAACTATTCTACAATGGCCTGAACCACAGAGGCCAACGGGAGCTTGTTGTAAAGCCTATTTCTACTACATCCCATGACCTGAGAGACTGCCCACCCGTGAGGGACAGGAAGCAGAGAAAGTTGCTAAATTATGGCTAGGTCAACCCTTTCCTCCGGTAATTGCTTGTTTCCTGCTAGGACAAGATCAGAGAGTACTGCCATGGAACCTCATGTGAGTAATTCCATGGGCTTTCTTTTTGGCTGCCACAGGCTGGTCCCTTCTCCTCCAAGCTGGTGTACATCGTAGAGGAGGAAGCTTGATAAGGATACATCCTGCAGGAGAATTAGAGTCTAGGGGTTCAGGAAGGACTCCCTTGCCAGATCCTAGACATATGTTTCTGCAAGTGGCAACCCCAGCCTTTCCAGCATGCTCTGGGGGGGTTGGGGTGTTATTTGCTGTTTGGTCCCTCTTCCTCAAGTCCTAAGGGTCAGCATCAGGGGTGGACTGACCATTTGGAAACTCGGGCACTGCCCGAGGGCCCGGGGTCAGTATGGGGCCCTTATGAGATGCCCCTGGTACCTTTTTCATAGGCTTTTTTGAGTTTGGGCAAGGACACAGGGGCCCCATGATCCCCAATTGATCCCCATGAGTTGTCAGTCCATCCCTGGTCAGCATGGTGGCTCTAAGTCTCACTAGAGCACAGGTGTACCGCTGGGTAGTTGCACGTGGTAAGATGGCTGACTTCCAGGTTTGAAACCATGGTGGAACATACGGCACTAGGATTTAAAATTCTCACTATACCCTGCTCACCTTATTGGTAAGTCTGCTCATTTTTCATGTCTTTTCTTATTAGGGCCTCTCTTTTGAACCTCTGCTATGTTTTACAGATGGGGTAAGGTGGAGGGGGGTGAGAGTGAAGCAGCTCAGTTGAGCCAGGTTCTGAGTGTATTCCCATACATTTTCATGAAATGAGCCGAGTCCAGTCCAATGTGCTGCATGATGTCACAGAACTCTAGCGCTGCTCCCTGTCAGGAGACCAGGATGCTAAGCAGTCTTCCAGCCTGGTAGAATATTCCTTTTCCATTTGTTGTTCCAGGTAAATTAGCATCTTTGCCTGTAACTTTATTTTCTCTGCGCTTTGCATTTGGAGAAGTAAAGATTCCAAACCTTTATTGAAACCTGCAGAGGAGGCTTATTTAAATCTAAACAGTAGAATGTACATAGCCTGCTTACAGTTCTACATATTTACTGCTTGGCCACAAAGCATGAACTGAGACGGTACTATAAGGATACTGCAAAAAGGGCTGCTGAAAATAAGGATTTTAATATCAATTTACTGCCATCTTACATACTTAGTCTGGCTGAAAAAAGTCCATCCAGTTCAACAATTAAAAAAAAAAGTTATAATCCTATACCCACAGTTGATCCAGAGGAAGGCAAAAACCTACCAAAGCATGATCCAATTTGCTCCTGCAGGGAAAAAAACCTTCCTGATCCCCTGAGAGGCAATCGGATATTCCCTTGATCAACTTTACCTATAAATGTTAGTATCCATTTATATTCTGTGTAAATCTTGATATCAATGATTTAAGAAAACAAAGATATTTTTACATTATTTGAAACTTTTAAATGAGTGAATATATTAGATACACTTTTATGCATCACCAGTTTTCTTTCCCTGAGTGTGCTAATAATGTTATTTATCCCCTGACTCAGCTATTTTTCATTAAAAGAGAAGTATGGCATTTCTTTTGTAGCATCGCTCTGATGTTGCATCTGTCCCCCACCGGCTGTAAGGCCAGCCATACATTGGTCGAAATTTGACTGATTTTTCGTCTGAAAATCGGACCTAAGAATAATCAGCCGATTTTCGCTCTGTTAGTGGGTCAATGGCACTGGCCAATTTTCATGGTTCCTCCCTTTGTAGTGATCGGGCATGTTGGAAAATTCGTGAAAAACTACCGATTTTCGAGTCAATGATGGTCAAATCATATCGGTTTTATGAAAAGAATATGCACATAAGCCGTGCCCTGGAGAAACAGAAGTTTCGCCTGTAATATGGGATGAAGTTTATGACTTGGTCGGCTGATTTTCAAAATCATTGATGGCACCATTGGATTACCGAGAGAATGATGTTTTCAATTTTCGGACGAAAAATCGGTCGGAATTCGAACCATGTATGGCCTGCATAAGGGTGAGAACTCTGCGATCACATGACTGCTGGTTGCTGAGTCCTCACAGCCGCTTTGAGCAGAGAGCGGTGATTGTTCGTTACCGCTGTCTGCTATGCCCATCCCCATGCTCACTGGAGTGCTGGGTTGTGGAGATGGAGGGAGCAGCTGGCTCAGGCTCTCAGCAGATTGCTGAGAGGCTGAGCCAAGTGCTGCTACAGGTTCTGAGGTGGATCCCGACTTTAAAATCAGGATCCCTCCTCCGCTTAGGGATGTCAGCTGACAACATGCTTCAGCCCTCTGTCAGCTAAAAATGGGTCATAGTAGTGCAGAATGAACTGCACTCCTGTAATCCACAGGAGAAGTACAGCCTAAAGAGCTTTGGCTGTACTTCTTTATTTTTTTTGGTATTGTTAATACAATAATGGCATTTATTTATTTCAGGTACTTATATAGCGCCATCCATTTGTGCAGCGCTTTACATATATATATATATATTGTACATTCACATCAGTCCCTAACCCTCAAGGGGCGTACAATCTAAGGTCCCTGACTCACATTCATACATACACATACTAGGGCCAATTTAGACAGGAGCCAATTAACCTACCAGCATGTCTTTGGAGTGTGGGAGGAAACCGAAGTACCTGGAGGAAAACCCACGCAGGCACAGGGAGAACATGCAAACTCCAGGCAGGTGGTGCCGTGGCTGGGATTCAAACCAATGACCCTAGTACTGCCAGGCGGAAGTGCTAACCATTTAGCCAGTATGCTGCCCAAAGCATTACGGGCTGGTTCACACTTTAGAAACGCAGTCCAGATGCGTTCTGGATGCGTTTTTGCATGTGCATTTTTGATGCATTTTTGGCACTTTTCGATGTGTTTTTCATGCTTTTTGACGCGTTCCAATGCTTTTTCTTATGCATTCCAGTTCATTTTTCCCCTCTCTTTTTCTTCAATTTAAGAGCCAATGTCAATGTCATAGTTCACATCAGTGCTTTGAGTTCTAGTGTGTTCCGGTTGCAGAAAAAAAAGTAGAACATGCTGCAGTTTTTCTGCACAGAACTGTACTGGAATGTAGTAAAACGTACCAAAAATGCACAGGAATGCAGCAAAAATGCACTGGAATGCACATGTCCCTATTTAAATTGAAGAAAAAGGGGAATAAATGGACTGGAATGCATAAAAAAACGCACTGGAACGTGCCAAAAATGCGTCGAAAAAATGCCTCAACGCATCTGAACTGCGTTTCTATAGTGTGAAACGGTGCTAAATAGAGTCATGTGCGTTTTTGATGCATTTTGCCATGTTCCAGTACAGTTCTGTGCAGAAAAAGTGCAACCTGTTCTACTTTTTTTTCTGCAACCGGAACGCACTGGAACTGCAAGCACTGGTGTGAACTGTGACATTGACAACCATATAACCTACTTTCTGTGCGTTTTGGATGCAGAAAACAACTGAAACACATGTAGTGTGAACTGGCCCTAAAACTACCAAGCAATGTACTGTCCTCTAATTTCTCTGAATTGTGCCGCAGTATTTCTCAGCATTACTAAATAAATAGCTGAGTAAAGTGTCCTTCAATAATAATAAGATACTTTTTCCCCAGCATAAGGGTATAACCTATTGATAAGCTCTACTACCCTGGCATCACCTGGAATGCCTGTCTGTTCTCATTTCCACAGTCTTTCATTTCATGTCCAAGTGACCAGATGGCCGCTGGACGTTAAAGACACCTGAGACTGTTGTGAGCACACCGCTTCTTTTATGTTTTCTGGACTAAAACTTTGGACAGTTCAGCCAATATGACACAGGAATAGATTTTGAAGAGACATACATATTGGTATTAGAATACCCCAAGCAAGCATTGGATGCATCTTATGCCCCTTCATGACCCAGCTACACATGTCATTTTTAAAAGTGAATTTCACCAATGTAAAACCTAACTTGGGTATTTATACATAATTAGGACCATATACTAACAGATTTTCAAACAAACGCTCATACAAAAATTCTTTGTATGTGTGATGACTAGATGCATGTTGTATGAAAGTACCTAAAAAAGTCGTTTGTTTTTAAAGCTTGATTTTGGAATGAATTAAATTTCCTGAATGAAAACCGCATTCGTTACAAATTTTTTTCATTCAAGAAACATTTTCTGTCCTGCTCCTTCAAATTTTTTCATCACTGTTGTTGAAATTGAACAGCACTTTGACCTCACTAACAATTAGAAAATCAAATGAGCATCCTTAACCCCTTCGCTGCCAGGTCCAAATGTCTTGCAGACCTGACAGCGGGAGGTTTTACACACAATCCAGTGGCTGAAGCCTCTGGGATTGTGTCTAAAACTGACAGGCGGACTCCTGCCTGTACGGTGGAAGCAGTCGGATGGCTGCACTGCTGCCTGACTGCTTCCACAGCCCCCAGTAATGCCCCCCCCCCTGCGTGTGCCCCTGCCACGTATTCTGGGCTCCACTTGCTCATCTACAGGCCCTGGGCTGACATGGTGGGTGGAAGGGTGAGAGGAGAGGGGACATAAAATTGCAATACATCCAGTGGAGCTCAGAGGAGACATTCAGGGTCTTTAAGACCCTCCATGTCTCATTAAAGAGAACCTGTCAAGTACAAATCATCACATAGGGGACTTTGTGCATTAAAGCCCACCCTTTTGGTGCTGCATACGTGTGTTGCATGGTTGTAGAGGGTCTAAATATCTAGTTACTAAAGGTTTCGTCAGACGAAGACTTTCTTTTGGTTTCTAGTGCTTTTTTCCAAGAGTGCCATGAAAACAAAGATTGCAACACTTATATTAGTGACCAGGCAAATGGCAGTAGGTTATACATTTCTCCATCAACTGTACTTTCTCTCCTCCAAGCTGCAAGCTCTATTTGCTAGATTCACAGAACTGTGCAAGATCATAGAGCCTGGTTGGCTTATAATTCTGTTTTTGCACTGACCGTGTAATTGTGCAGATGATTACAGTTGGTTGGTACCCACACAAATTGAGGTATATTATTCAAATACATTTAGGTACATTTTAGAGGATAAGTTCACCTTAAAAACAAAAAATAATAAATGCATGTTTTTTTGCAGATAAAAAAATGCATTTATTTTTTTGTTGCAGGAGCCTGAAAGGTATTGCACTAGTGATCAGCAGATCACGGGTGCCATGCAGGTCTCCTGTAGACTGTCAGTGTAATCTGTCTACCCGTACAGCGTACCTGCAGGGTGGGTTTTACACCAGCCCCTTGCCAAGCCTTCTGTTGGGGATTGGCTGAGGTCCCTCAAGAGTGCAGCCAGCCAGTCCTCAGATCCACCCACTGACTCCAAGGCCCTCCTCCGAAAACCTCAAAGCAGGAGGAAATTCCAGAGGGGCTGGCCTGCATTCCTGACCAGAATTTGGCCCCTCTGGCTATTACACCTGAGCTGCTAACAGCTCCTGACTAACCATTAGGGTCTAGCTCCCCCTAGCTGAACTAGGAGGGTGCTACATATACATCTATGCAAAATGTTTGGTATTTTTTGTTGACTATATAATGTTGCAGTGAGAAAGTATTGGTCCAAATATTGTGTAAAAGTACATACATAGAATGTTAAAGTGATTTTAAAGGCTTTTTTTTTTTAAGAAAAAAAAGCCTAACAAACATGTCTATACTTACCTACTGTGTGTGGTGTTTTTGCACAGAGCAGCCCGGATCCTCCTATTTTTGGGTCCCCCTCAGGCTCTCCTAGCCCCTCCCTCCTGTCAGGTGCACCTATAGCAAGAAGCTTGCTACGGGGGCACCCGCTGCTCTGTGTGTCCACGCCCTCTCTCTCTCTTCTCTCACTGGCTGTGATTGACAGCAGTGGGAGCCAATGGCTCCCGCTTCTGTCTCAGCCAATGAGAAAAGGGAGTTCCGGGATAGCCGAGACTTCAGTGCACATTGCTGGATAGAGAGGGGGCTTAGGTGAGTATTAGGGGGGCTGGGGATGCTGCACACACAGGGTTTTTTACTTTCATGCATAGAATGCAGGAAGGTAAAAAACCTTGAGCCTTTAGAACCACTTTAAAGTTGCTTTTTAAATTAAATAAGTAAATGTATAGGTACTTGATTGCAAGTTGGGCAAAACATGTATCACCGTTGTTGGGATAGGCCTGGTAAACATGTCAAAAAGTGTAGTTAGCCAGGCCAGCTTGTGCACAAGACTTCTCCACACCTGAGCTCTAATTAATTCATTGCAGCTCCTTCCAGTCTGTCCTGTTTCATTTTATTGCTGAGAGGTGAGGTTTAAGAACAGGCTAGATCATAGGAAACATTTACTCCCAGAAAAGAACATAGGTTGTTGTAAGCCTTGTTATTGGCAAGTGTATCCAGCAGAATAAAAGCTGTGAAGCAACTGCCTTGCTTATCAAAATGTGTGCGTCTGCATGCTTTTGCTTTGAATGTGATTATGCTGTTTTCCTTTTCCAGTTCAGTTACTGTGTGTAGTTTTGTTCTGCAGCTAAAAATTGCTAAAGCTCTGAAAAACAGGCTGGCAAAGTGTTAAGTCCTCAAGTGTTGAACTGGATCTCATGATCATGTTCTTGAAAAAAAAAATGAATATTTAAAGGTTAGCAATGTAAGCAAGATTCTCCACACATTTATACTGGAGCCTCCAAACGGAGACTTGGTAGGCAGCAGTCCTAACCACTGACAGGTCAAGTTCCTCTGGTCAATGGGTAGCTGCTATTATTTCAGTACACTGGACAGGTACAGATTCCATAGTGTGACCACGACAGTTTGGAAAAGGACCTCTGGCTTCCAATGGGAAATTCAACTCTCCCCACCTCCACACATTGAGAAATTAAACTAACCCACAAGTACAGTGTTCAGTCTTTTCCAAGGTACAGACATAATAGCAGATATCCAATGACCATAGGGTGACCACCACAGTTTGGTAAAGGTCCTCTGGCTTCCAATGAGAAATTCATTTACCCCCCACCTCCACACATTGAGAAATTAAGTTTACGTACAAGTACAGTGTTCAGGCTATTCCCAGGTACAGAAATAATAGCAGCTATCCAATGACCATAGGGTGACCACCACACTTTGGTCAAGGTCCACTGGCTTTCAATGAGAAATTGAATTCCCCCCACTCCCTCCACGAGTTGAGAAATTAAGCTTGCCCTTATGTACAGTGCTCAGTCTAGTCTAGGGTACAGAAATAATAGCAGCTATCCAATGACCACAGTTTGGACTAGGGACAACTGAATATGATGGGGTAGGAGTTGCATGGTTAAATTATTGTGATCAAACCATAATTAATATTCTGAAAAATATTTTTTGCATAACTAAAATTCATTCAGCCCTATATTCTGCATTGTTTGCCCAAATAAAACAATTTACCCCATCTGCAGTGGTTACCTAAGTGCAGCCAATACATTGCCTAGCATTTTGGAGTGTTCATGGAGTTCATAGTACATGTAGTACACTTACTGAACTACACAGATAGAAACAACATAATAATCCTTTTAATTTTGTTTACTTTGGAAGTTTGCAGCCAATTAAAATAATGCAGATCCGTATTAAACATGATATGGCAAGTATTAATACTGGTTTATCAAACAGTAATAGAAGAACTGGACAAATTCTGCTGATGCCTTCCTTTCTGTGCGAAAAGAGTAATGAAAGAAACAAAATATAAAAAAAAAAGGTAGTAAAGACCTTTACGCAGAACACGCTTTCTTAAATCTGCCCACAATTTCTTAGTGTGCCAGTTGCGATGACCTTTTGCAGCTCCACTTGCTGAGCTGAGAAAATGACTTTGAAAAACCTCAGGCATGTACTTTAAGCAGTGACATTAGCACATAATTAGCAGCCCAGTGTCCATGGAGAAAAGCACAGAATCACCTGAGGCCACTGCCTTGGAGAAGGTTAAGAAAAGTCAAGTTGGGCCCAGCACCTAGACTAGGGTTGTAGGAGGAAGTGTAAAGTATTAGCCAGTTACCCATTCAGTATCTGTAATGCTGCTTGTAGTAGAGTTAGAGCAGTGCAGAAGAACATATGAACACCATGACCTAGTCCTAGACAACAAACTATGATGTGTAAAAGCCACAATATGTGTTTACACTGCATCTTTGGTGATGTCACAAAATGCAGTAAAGGCACAATGAATGATTTTCAGCAGCTTCGTGGATAGCAGTTCTGCCTGGTAGCTCTAGGACCATCGGTTTGATTCCCAACCATGTTCTCACTGTACTTGATTGAGCTTCCTCTGCGTACCCGGTTTCTTCTCACACTCCAAAGACATGCTTGTAGATTAATTGGCCCTAGTATGTGTATGTATGAATGTGAGTTTAGGGACCTTAGATTGTAAGCTCCTTGAGGGCAGGAACCCATGGGAACGTACAATATATTCATAAAGAGTAAATTGTTGACGCATTAAAATACCTGTAATAAATTATCTAACCTGGCTGGCCACTATTTCCTCTAGTTTGGTTTGTTTGGCTCTCCACAGGTATTAGATTGTCAG